GAGAGAGAGAGAGAGAGAGACGGCACCCAGCAGACACGGGGAGGTTTTGTTATCATTTATTTGTGAAGTTAAAAACGAGCGATAAAAAGTAAAAACTGCCATACAATTTTTTGTTTTGTTCTCAATTTTTCAGTTTCAATGTCCTCTTGAACAGTTGAAACCCAAGACCAGTCCCGGGAGTGGGGGGCGGGAGGGGCTGCAGGGGAGCCGAGCGAGGCAGGGGGGAGGAGGAGCAGATCAAGGGGCTCGACTGGGGGGGGGAGGGGGGCCTACAATAGCAACACCTGGTCCAAGGAATGTTCCAACTCTAACTAAAAAAAAAGAAATAGCAAGAGTGACTTTTTTTCCTTTTTAAAAGTTTATTTTAAAAACATGAAGAGGGCCAGGGGTGGTAGGAAGAAAATGAATTGCTTTCCCCTGAAAGAGGCAGTTTCAGGAAGGGATAGAGATTTTTATATATATATATATAATTTTATAGGTTTTGTTTGCTTTTTGTGTTTTTTATATTTAAATTTTTTTTTTTGGCAGAGATTTAATTCTATCTTCTATGGCTGGCTCAACATGAAGGATCCCAATTTTGAAAGAAAAAAGCATGAGACACACAGAATGAGCGAGAGAGTGAGAGCCCAGCATCGCCCAGGCTGTGACCTCCAAGCCACTCACAGCAAGGGCTCCCCCAGCACCCCCACAGCAGCCATCGCTCTCTCGCCAAACACATGAGGAAAAAAAAAAAAAAAAAACCAAAAAAAAAAAAAAGCCCCCAAACAGAACAAAATGGAAAAAAAAATAATAAAAGATTTTCACAGATGAAGAAGTTCACATTCATTCGATTCATTGAGCCTGCGGAGAGGGAAGAGATAGGAATTGGTCACTACGGGGGGGGGGGGGGGGGGGGGGGGGCAAGGAGGGGGCCGGGAAGCCCCTCTCCCGCGCCTGTGGCGAGCTCGGGCTGGAACGACGTGTTTGTAAGTGTCTAGTCTCGTGCTCCGGGGCCCTTGGCTGAAGTCAGACTGGCTCCTTGATGGAGGAGGGAGCAAGAGGGGCGTGAAGACCAGGAGGAGAGAAGCGGGGGCCGCAGAGGCAGAGCGGGGGGAGAGGGAGAAGCGCGCTCAGGGTCTGGGAGGGAGGAGGGGTGCCCTCTGTCTTCAGGAAGGCAGGTGCTCCGGCGCATCACAACATGACAATCTCAGAGATCACGGTGTCCCCACAACACCCCTGTGAGGTAGGTTGGAAGGTGGCGGCGATCGTCATGCCCACTTCACAGACAAAACCAGGACACAGAGGCAGGCGCGAGAGCGGAGGCGGCGGCGGCGGAGCCCAGGCAGGGCGGGAGGGGCCCTGCGGCCGGTCCCCGTGGCAAGCTCCCCGACTCCCACCAGAGCCAGGGCTGACCCACGCTGGGGCCGCCTGCAACACACAGTCACTTGGACACGGGGAAAAGATTGTGGGGTTAAAAATAAAAGAATGCAAAGAACAAAACCCAAAAAAGTAATGCAGAGAGGGGAAAACACATCCGTTTTCTTCCCAAGTGGCCAGATTTTGAATGAGCGAGTTAGCAGCCAGGATGGCGACCAAGGTCTGTGCTGCTGGCCTGCCCCCCCCACCCCCAGGACTACCCACCAGTTCAACAGTTCCACCTTGTATTTGCTTCGCGCTCTCCCCCAGCATCGAGACAGCGTGACACAGGAACAAGCGGGCCGGCGCAGGGAGGCCTCTTCGTTTAACCTCTGGACCCAGCGCACACTTCCCCAGCTCGTGGGGACTCCCGGAGACCTCTGGCCACACGGCCCCCGCTGCAGGCATCAAGGACACACCCCGCAGGGGAAGGGATTTCCGGCGCTACCCACTAAGGCAGGATGGACGGTGGCCGGGGGTTGGAAGGAAAAAGGAGGAGGAGGAGGGTGGCAATTCCCACTTGCCTGCTGCTGTCCCTGCTGTGTGGGTGGAGGCTGGGGGCCGCCAGGACCTGGAGTCTGTCCGTAGTAAGCGGCCTGCTGTCTGTAATATTCGGCCCAGGCGGCACTGTAGTCTGGCTGGGAGCCTGGGGGTGCTCCCGGACCCCCTCCGGTGGCCACTTGAGCTGCACGGAAGCGGGGTCACGGTGAGCGAGCGTGGCTGGGGGCCCGAGGGCCCGGCCCTGCCCCTGCCCCGCAGCCCCAGCGGCTCACCCTGCTTCTTGTAGTACTCCTCCCAGGCCTTCGTGTAGTCCTGCTGCGGGGGCGCTCCAGGCTGCTGGGGCTGCTGGCCTGCAGGAGCAAGGCCTCGAGAGGTCAGAGGACGGCCCAGGGGTGCGGCTGCCTCTCACCAGCCTCTTGCCCTAACTCGAGCCCCTGCGGCGGCCCCCACCACACTCACCGATCTTTTTGTAATACTCTTCCCAGGCCTTAGTGTAGTCTGACTGGCCGGCGGGTGGGGGCTGTGGGGGCTCGCCCTGGGCAGGGGGGGCCGCGGGGGCCGGTGCAGGGCCGGGCACGGGGCCTGGGGGCTGCTGGTAGTAGTGTGAGTAGTAGGCGGCCCAGGCGGCGTTGGGGTCTGCAGCGGCTGCAGCTTTATCTGTAGGAAGGCAGTGGGCTAAAGGGCGGTCCTGGAAGCCAGCCCCGCCGCCCCACCCCCACCCCTCCACCACCTAGGCACACCCAAGCCCTGTCCTGCCCTTCACCTGGGCAGCCTTACTTACTTGGGTCATGAGGAGCAGGTGGTTGCCACTGGGGGTAGGTATTGCCCCAGCCCTGGGGTGGGTACTGGTGAGGAGGAGGACCCCCCGCACTGCGGGACAAGAAAGACAGGGCAAGTGAGCCGGGGCCACTCCTCTCTGTGGGCAGGGGTGGCCGGTAGGAAGGGGGCCCGGGCCTAGCCCTCTGCTTGTACTCAGTCACAGGCCCTTCGCCCAGAAAAAGGTGAGATAAACAATGCCAAAGAACACAAACTCCGCTGGCTGAAGGACGTGCGAGTCCCCCAAATTCAACATACACAGGTTTGCCTGTTAGGTGGGAGACCAAGATCCACACCTGCGGTACCTTTTAAAAATGGCATCGATCACAGAGAGGCTGGGCGGATCGTGCCTTGAACCGCTGCGATCAGCACTTCTTGGTGCCGAATGAAAACGGGGTCCGCTGCTCTTCTTGCCAGCACAGCAACCCCCATGTCCCAAACCCCAGGAAGCTGAGAAGAATGAATACTCACTGCGGGGGAGCCCCAGGTGGCCCCTGATTGAAAGGCCCGGGGTTGAAGGGCCCCATGGGGCCTGCAGGGCCTGGTCCCCCGGGGCCTGGTCCAACTGGGCAGAGGGGACCCTGGAGGAAGGAGAAGCAAAGTCACTTGGGTGGAGGGAAGGAGACAGGGGATGGGTCCAGGCTCCAAGAACCCCTCCCTGAGCCCACCTCAATCTTTTCCTCAATGAGCTGCTTGGCATGGTCTATCTGCTGAGGTGAGCCCCGGATGATGAACAACTTGAAGTTGGGGTCCCCATTGGGCGGCAGCTGCCGGGAGATCTCCACAAAGGCGCCTGTCTGCTGGTTTATGGCTTTCACGTTCTCACCACCTGCACGGAACCACAGACAGTGAAGAGAAGGCAGGAGAACAGGGGGCTGAGGAACAGAATGCAGGCAGGGCCTACTCACCTCGGCCGATGACCAGCCCACATTTGTGCGTGGGGATGGAAAAGGTCATCTCTCCGCCCGGAGGGCCCCAGCTGCCTTGGCCCCTTCCTCGTCCCCGGCCCCCCGGGGGCATGCCAGGACCCCCTGGTGGGCCCGGGGGACCACTCTGCAAGACAGGAAAGAGGTAGAGAGTGA